GTCAAACAAAAGCAATCCCCAACAAACCTCCGGACCAAGACGATATAATTTTCCAAATACAGCGTGCCAAGCAAGAGCTAGAGGAGCATGTGGATAATATCAGACAATCGACCTCGCAAGGCGAATCAAGCCATGGCTGGCTTAGCAGCGGGGGCCTTTGGCCCAGTCTCTCACCTGTAGCTCTGCTTGAGATGCTCCGAAACGAGAATGTTGGAAGTCTAGGCCCCGATATGAAGGAAGCCCTCGTTTGGTACGGAGTGCTTATTACAAAACTCCAGCGTCTACAGAGAATGGACGATGCGTTCCGGTCTGATGACGAAAGGCGCCTCGTTGCAGAATACAATCATACCGGCCACTCCAATTGGCGTCCGCTTGAACAGCCGGAGTGGCTGCTTCTAGAAATCGACAACAACATCCTTTTGCGTCAATCTCAAGTTGATGTAGCTCATGCCATTGTTTCGCCATCCTCACGTAGTAACTCTGTATTGCAAATGAACATGGGCGAAGGTCAGTTTTGTTAATCATCCCTCTCACGTTATCAGCGCTAATCTAGAGATTAAATGCAGGAAAAACATCTTGTATCATGCCGATGGCAGCAACTTTGCTAGCAGACAAAACCAAGCTTTGCCGACTCATTGTTCCTCGCGCTTTGTTGCTGCAGACCGCTCTTGTAATTCAACGACGCCTCGGTCGGCTGATTGGGCGCAGAGTCCAACACATCCCCTTTCAACGGCGATCGCCTAAAGGGAGCCAGACTCTCGATCTGTATCAGAGAATCCACCGTGATACTCTCACGTCCGGCGGGGTTATGCTTTGTCTCCCGGAACACATCCTCTCGTTTCAATTGAGCGGTCTCCAGCAACTTGCTGATAACGAAATGAAAACAGCCAAAAAGATGAATCAAATTCAGCAATGGCTCTATGAGAAGAGCCGTGACATTATCGACGAGTCCGATCTTACGCTGTCGGCTAAAACTCAGCTCATCTACCCAAGCGGTATTCCTGTCATTGTCGATGGACACCCTCAACGCTGGGAGGTGGTACAAGATGTCCTGTCATTGGTTGAAGGCCACTGCTCGCTCCTTGAGTTAACACACAAAAAGGGAATCCAGATTTTCCGACGCCATCAGGGCTACCCCATCATCCATTTTCTTGATACCAAAGTTGAGGATGTTCTGAATGAGCTACTCGTCAAGGACATTTGTGAGGGTCGCCTTGCGCGAGTGCAGTTAAAAGATCCCTCGAATGCGGATGCTCGGAAAGCGCTTGAATGCATTCTCACTGGTGTCAAGGCCTCGGATTCGGCTTGGGCAACCATGGCCGAGTTTCTGACCGACGAAGTCGTGGGATTGAAGTGCCTGTACCTACTACGTGGCCTCATTTCGGAGCGCATCATTCTGCTCTGTTTGAAAAAGCGTTGGAACGTGCAGTTTGGACTTCACCCAGAGCGAGCACCCATTGCGGTACCCTTCGAAGCTAAAGGTGTTCCTTCTCAAACTGCTGAGTACGGCCATCCAGACACGGCACTTACCCTGACCTGCCTCGCCTTCTACCAAACCGGCTTATCGAGGGGACAAATTACTCAGAGCCTGGAGCACGTCATTAGGGCAGATGATCCCGCTGCCCAATATGAGCATTGGGTACACGGCTGTGCTGCCTTACCGGCCACACTTCGACACGTGAACCTCCTTAGCGCAGATGACGAAGCGCAGATAGAGGAGTTGTGGAAGCACTTGTGTTTTGACCGACATGTTCTCAACCATTACATGAATCACTTTGTTTTCCCCCGGCATGCTAAGCAGTTCGGGGTCAAGCTTCAGGCTTCTGGCTGGGACATTCCCCTAGTATCCCCCGGTTCCCCGTCTTACATGAAATCCTCGCAGTCGTCGTGTCTGACAACAGGGTTCAGTGGTACGAATGACAACAAAAGGCTTCTGCCTCAGACCATCAAACAGGATGATCTGGCAGGCCTCGTCCACACGAACGCGGAAGTCTTAAGTTACCTTCTCGAAGACCGGAATAAGACATGTTACCAAGCTGTCGATCAACAAGGTAAACAATTGAGTGAGAGGGGCTTGCTGGAACTCCTCAAAAAGGAGAAAATCAACGTTCTCATCGATGCTGGCGCCCATATTCTAGAGATGGAGAACCATGACCTGGCAGCAGCGTGGCTTGATGTATACAACGAAGCTCAAGGCGCCGTATACTTTGACAAAAGTGGTCGTATCATGGTTTGTGCTCGATTCCAGAAGGCTCCTATGCCGCTTCTCGCCAGCCCTTTCGCCGAGAACCTAGAGCAATGCGTCGTTTACGTTGACGAGGCGCATACACGAGGCACGGACATAAAGCTGCCACTAGGTGTCAGAGGAGCAGTCACTCTTGGGATGGGTCAAACAAAGGATCAAACGGTGCAAGGTAAGAAATAATCACGGAAATAGATTAAGGAAATCTACTAACAGAAACCCCTTGCCAGCGGCCATGAGGTTGAGACAACTCGCCTCTACCCAATCAGTTGCATTCGTAGCTCCTCCTGCGGTCTATCAAAGCATCCTTGAGCTGCGGCCTTCGCATCTCAAGCGGATAAAGAATTATCAGGTGAACTCTCATGATGTCGTGCGCTGGCTTCTTGAGCAGAGCTGCACGGCCAACGAAGACATCATGTCCCTTTACATCGCTCAAGGGTTTGACTTCTGCCGCCGTGCCAACGCCTTTTGGAAAAACAAAAACAAGCTTGAGAAGAAACAACACGTCGAAGATCTCCTTGACGTGATACGCCAACGCGAAGCTCAGTCGATCGAGGAACTCTATGGTTCCAGGACCGCGGCCCCAGACGCAGAGCAAACTGATCTCGACTTTCCCAACCTCAACGCCTTTAACCGTAGTCTTCATCAACAAATGCTCAACCTTCATCAGTCCGGAAGGCAATCCGAGTCATCTGCGCTGGCGGAGGTAGAGCAGGAGCGGGAAGTAGAGTTTGAAGTCGAGCAAGTCAGGGAGAATCAGAAACGGGGGAAGTTCTCGCCACTTTTGTTTCCTGGCCTGGACCCTTACATCACCCGGTTTGTCGAAACTGGTCATTTGGATCACCGTGGACCATTTACCCAGGCATTCACCTTCATCGGCACCACCAAGATAGGTCGAAAGTATGGTGTTTGTGGAACAGGAACTCCGCTGTTTGTCTCGCAGGAATTCACAAAAACAGTCAACAGCCGATCCAAGGCTGAGCCGATGATGGTTGTAAGTAGCGCTCTCTTATTCCCATACATATCTATCCACTAACCAGTAAATCCAAACAGCGCCCGGTCGAATGGATTCTCTGGAGCTCAACAACAGAGACGGCTCTTATCGTAATACCCGAAGAAGCTGAGCTTCTCATTGAAACACTTCGAACCCTCGATGAACCCCGAGTCTGGCTCTTGACTTACGCTGCGCCAGTCACCAAGTCCATGAAACCGTTCAACACTCTCAACTTCTTCACGGTCCCACCCCCGAAGGAACGACCCGTCTTTCCAGTCTGGCTCTCAGTCGAAGTGGGTGTCATTGCAGGGAGGCTGTACTTTGATTACTCAGAGTACAAACCCCTACTCGCGTGGCTAGGCCTATCTGAAAGCTCCGAGGTCGTCTCAACCGATGCAGTAGATCAGCTTCAATCTCTTATGATCTCCCCTCCAGAGAATATCGGTCTGTCCATTGAGATGCCTCTCAAATTCCTCTTCGAATGGTCGACCTACCGACGCGAGACTTTGGAAATCAAGCACACGCCGGTCGGATTCGTCTGTGAGAGCCGGGTTTTGAAGTCGGACCACTCCTTCTTCACTAAAGCTACGGGGGCGAGCGAAGCCGTAGATCAGCAGCCTGTTATTCGTCTTGCCAATGGACACCAAGGAGACAAAGACGGCGACCATGAGAGTGATGATGACGTTGAGTGGGACAACTTGCATGACGGAATGGGTTTGGATGGTGCTGCCGATGATGAGTTCATCGATGCAGAGGAATTGTCGAAAGACGAGGGAGATGAAGAGACTTTGGACGATTGAGTATTTTTTTAACTGTTGAAGGATAATGTTGCTTTGGTCTACTATTTCTACAGATGTCGAAATTTGGGACGACAACGACAAGGAGCTAGTTGAATAATGTGTGTACCTTGGCTTTGTATCTGAGCATATTCTAAGTGGTAGGAAACGTGGCTCTCTTTGTTGCTTCCGCTAAGTGAAATACAGACGCGGCGCAATTTGGTACGAGACTAGTTTGAGGCCTCAAAAGAAGGCTTGATTAATAAAATGACGAGTGATCGTACTCTTCTCGAACTTTGCTGATCCGGTTCACTTGGCAGAGTGAGGAGCTTAGATGAATGCAAATTTGTGAAATAGATCGCGATGGATGGATCTAACCATTTCCAAAAAGTTTAGTGTCTTGAATTCTCTGGTGTTAAAAACAGTTTCGTTCCATCCCGGCGGCATCAGACGCCGGAGAAGGTCAGCGACAATCTCGAACTCCATCCATGTGGAAGGGCCTTGGTAACCTTCCATAGGTAGTATCGTATGTATACTACGCGGAGCAAAAAAGCCTGGGAGAAGGGCGGGACGTCAACGTGCCTGATCTCATGCTCTTCTCGCTGCTGCACTTCGCGAAGAATCTATATGGGCTGGACCTCTGTGCCGATGCAGAGGCGGCCAACCTACAGAGTTTTTATTCTGAGTTTTCAAAAAGAAAGAGTGCAGAGGTCAAGGAGGGTCATTTCCCTGATGTGATTATGGGGTTGGCCAACCAGTGGCTCCCTCTAGATTAAGTGGCAGGGGAACTCAGAAAGGACCATCATCGAGGCGTTGTGATACAGATTTTATAGAACCAGCTAGGTGAAATTTCTAGATTTCGAAATAGATTCCTTATAAAGAGATAGTGTTTTGAAATCTAAGAATCGTTTCCAACAAAGATTTCGCTCTAACCAAGTTATAGAGAATTTGCATAAGATCTCAGCTGCAACTGCATTCAGAGCCTTGGTTATCTGAGAGCAATAACCTTACAGTCCAGTTCGCGAGTTTCATCCATCAATATATCCCTATGCATCAATCCTAAGCCGTGACGCTCTGCATGGAGCATTTTATCAACTGTGTATTGGGGATTAGCCCCATTGCTTTTTTCCAAGATAGGACGAACATTACCAGTGCCACCTTGACCATGGATCAACATGACGTTGAAGAAGTCCCATTCGTGCCATTCCCCAAGACTTATCTCGCCGTCGACAGATGTCTCTTGCGCCGCAGTTTGAAGATATATTTCATTGAGTCCACCCTCCTCGAGCGCCTTTCGATCGAGGGTGCTGGGCGCCGCAAAAGACAAAGCTAGTAAGCCGACCCAGTCTCCTTTTCCCGACCCTGGCTGCGGGAGGACGTCTTTGGTCCAGACCAGGCCACAAACCTTTTGGGTTTTCTTGTCTATGATTTGATATTCAAAATCATCAGTATCATCATAAGCAGTTGATGGTGAGAATTCGATTGTGTCTCCAACCAGGTGGACTTGGGTTTCAAATACGAGTGTGCCCGATGATAATTTATCATTGTCTCCAGATCCAGTTGCTGTGCTCGTGCCTGTATCTACTGGGGGTTTCCGAGCTTTCATCCTCCCTGTGAACGGATGACCGCGAAGCGACATCCCGTAAGTCGGCATGAAATCTTCCAAATTCTCACTGTCAAATGATTCTATTTCGCTGTTGGCATGGGAACTGCCATCCTCGTTCTGGGGCTTGGACTGAGAAGAGGAGGTTTGGCTACCGCTCACGTGGAATTCTGAGCTCTCATGTAGCGACTCCCAGGCCTGAACAGTTGTTCCTTCCTCATTCACGATGTGCTAGTCTATCCAGGTCCTGTGTCTAAGCCATTTCTGGTCATCGCTGCTGGGAAGATATGGAGGATGAGTAACTGAGCCGTCCCAGCCGGCCCATGACCAGCTCGGAAACTCCTCTCGGCGAACCAGCTTGGTTCCTTTTGTTTCTTTCCAGAGGAGAGCCCAGTCAAGAGCGGCGGCGGGAAGGCCATACCAGAATTTGGTATTGCCCATGGACCCTTGCAGGGCCTTTTGAATGCCGGTAAAGGCGTTGAGGGCATCCGACGAGTACGTGAGCTTGCGGGACGAGTACGCCGCAACGTGTTCTCCGTAGCGACCCAATGTCCATTCAGAGGCCCCCGTGCCCAAAGTATTGGCGCCCTCGAAGGGCTGGATCAGGTTGCTCTCGGCCATGACGTCCTCGCGCCACACGGCGCCCCGGCATACAAAGTAGAACTGTCCGCCCAGGAAGATGAGCCTCCGCGCTGAGAGCGCCGTTTCTTGATATCTGCGAATGCTGTGAGTGTATTGAATCTTAAAACCAGAGTGAGACGTACGTCCAGCCCCTAGAGGCAAAGGTGGAGTTCATGAGCTCAAGGTCGAAGAACGGGAGGACTCCCAAGATGAATCCATCTTCAATCTTCACAGTCGGTTGGCGGCTGCCAGCTTCCATATCCTTTCCCCAGCCATCCAATCCAGCATCAGCATGGTCACCTGATGCAGCAACAATAGTCAGCGCGGAGTTCCCATAGACGGCTTCCATGTTGGCGATCAGCTTCGACTTGAATGCATCGTCATCCTGGACGATGCAGAGTGCGTCCACCCAGAGGAATCGGAACCCCAGCGCTGAAGTCACCTCGATCGCGTCGCTGATCGTCTTGGGGAGCTTTGTACGCCTAAATGCACCAGGTTCTCGAAAGGCGTCGACATTCGTCTTGAGTGTTATCGGGGAATTGGTCGACCCCCATACGTAACTTAGAGTCGTGTAGGCCACGCCCTCGGGCAGCTGCGCCAGGCAGAGCTCCTCAACATCAATCACCATGAACCCCGGGAGGTTGGATGGGTGAGCAGGGATAGAGAGGTATGTCTGGAGACAGTTATCCCCATGTTCTCTGCTGCACCTTGCCAACCAGGACTTGATCTGGACCACGTCCATTTGAGTTGGGATCACCCTGCCGCGAACAAGATGCTGCGTGGACTGCTCATCCACGAGCTGGACACCGTAGACTGATGTTGATTGCCCCTTCAGCCGCGGGCAGAGGGCGGAGCCGTACTGATCTTCCGCACCGTCAGCGATGGGGTCGTACTCTATTATATTTTGGTACCACTCAGCCTCCCACGCTTCATCAGCCAGCAGAGCATCGGGGCGATCTTGGTATTCCCGAGACAGGGCTTGCAAGAGTATTTGACACAAAGCGCACCTCGCTTGGCACTCGCGAAGTTGGCCGATGGTGCCCTGGACAATTACCTGGTGGTACTTTGACTCCGGCTCGAAGGGCGGGCTCGCGAAGTCGGATCTGGTCAGTTGCAGGGCGGTGCATCTCTCACACAAAGTAGTAGCGTTCGAAGTCATGGTCTATTTATCATGTCCCGCGTGAGTGTACCAGTTATTTCAAGGTAAATTACACTTGAGGGTGTCTAGTTGAGTAGATATGAAGCTGGGCGGAAGCGGGGTTGTCAGGCTGCAATCTTGCGTTGAATGGCTGATAACATGACATGTAATAATCATAGAAGCATAAGATAGGTAATCTAGGCTACTCTAGACGTGATCTACACAGCATACGCAACCAGTATACTAAAATTGCATTCTCATCACCTATATCCCTCAACTCCATCGGTATACTTCTCCAGAATCTCATCAGCCAACATAACATCCCTTCTAGCGTTGATTTGCTTGAAAATGAGCCGAGGGAAAACTGACGCCGTATTTGAGATGGCGAAAATAGCAGGCGATGTTCCATAGCCCATTCACTTGGAGTAGTACCCCAAACGGATAAAACGATCAAGAATAAGCCTACCAGGATTTTATTTGAGAAACAAGAATTGAAGGCTACTCGTTTAACTCTATCAGGAGATGAATTTAGATGGGCATTCAGGCATTCTGGGCCATTCTTATCTAACACGTGCAGCTCTAGGAAATATTCGTCATATACGTGATCTGATCAGGCCAGCGGGGGATCCCAACCGATCGCCGTCCGCAGACGCTTTTCAGTCCCTTGATACGATTATTACGACCCTCGATTACCACCTGGGGTATAGACATCCAATCAATGGTGATTGTCTGCGCATTCGAGGTGCCTTTTGTTCTCGATTCGCAGAGTCTCCCTGGCCACCACCAAGGCCCTCCCCAGCAGATTCTCACCCCATTCGCGCCGGCTACGCATGTTCCTCGCGTCCTTCTCACTGAATCCTATGCCCCAGATCCGATCATTGGGCGCGGCTTCAATGAGCTCTCTACGCCCTGTACCCAGCAAGAGAGCTCTCAACTCCTCGTTCTGGCCAAACTTTGCCAAGCTCGCCGCCGCCACGACAGAGCTTTTGACTGCATCCCACTTGACGGGGTCGAAGCCAGCTACGACTCTGCCCAGACCTTTCTGCTCCCTCGGGTCCCGGGTTTGCAGGATCTGCGCGGCAATGCTGCGATCCCCGAAGCAGGCCGCCTTGCAGAACATCATGAACTGCTCCGCCGTCACGAAAGGAATGTCGTCGCTGTAGTCGCCGGGGGAGCAGAAGGAGCTCACAGGCTGCCCGACGAGGGCGGAGATTTGCAGTTTGCTGACGACGAAGCTGGAGCCGTACCATTGGCTGAATTCGCCGTATTTTCGGTCCTCGTGGTGGAAGAAGAGAGGCGCAGTGCTTAGAGTGTCATTTGCCGTGCCGCTCCCGTGGCCTTGGAGGATGGGTTTCTTTTGCGAGGGCATCTTGCACGATCAGGTTCAATTCCTTCTGCCGCTCGATTGCTTTCCAAACCGTCGTTTCTCGTCCTCTTCCCCGTGATGGTTCACAAGCAGAGAATGAATCTTGCTCAACATCAGAGGCGCTAGATTTCACTTACCACGGCGTAGTGACTCATTCATTGCGGATCCAAACCAAAGCGTGGCTATGCAAGGCGTCTTCCAACAAGTCCATTTCCATCTGCATTTAATCTCATCATCTATCTGAGCCCAGGATAGCAGAACCTCTGGGCTATCCTGAGGCAAGCCATCTGCCGGGCAGGAAAGAATAACTCGTAGGATTGGGCGAGAAACATGCAAGGTGAGAGAAGTGGTCAATTGACTTGGGGCAGACGGCAGAGGCGTCCACACATCGTCGCTAAGCCTCACCAATGTGGTGATGGTGGTAGTAATACCAGGTCGCATCCAGAAACGAGGGCGAAACATTGATCTCCTTGCCTGTACGGCGACTAATAAGCGTACAAAGCATGGTGTCATCCAGCCCTACTGCCTTAAACGAACTACGAGGACCTACAGCACGTATCGTTTGGGCAGGTCGAGGATCAAGCCTCCCACACCAGCAGATTCTCCGGCCACTCGCGGCGTAGCACACGAACGCTTTTCGTAAAGTGAGCCAATGGCTGGGTCCGTTGCTAGAAGGATTCATGACACATGCTTGTTCAGCTGCCTCCTAGCTAATACCGGAGAGGCACGTGCGGGAATAGCAGGTTTTAGATCTTCCGCAGATGCTAAATTTGGAGGATCGACCCCTCTAATCAGCATGGCATTCGGCAGTCGGCACGATGCATTGGCCCTTTGGTGTTGATCAGACCAACTGCCATATGAGGGAGACACCAAAGCGAGCGATTATACACGTACGGACGAGTGTTGGTGTAAGATCAATAGCAAACCCAATCCGAGTCATGCTTGTAAGTGAGAAGACAACGTTAGTGAATGCTCACCAACGCAGCAACAGTGCCTCAGCGTAAGGGCGGTACAGCTATGCTCAGCCCCAACTGCTACTACGGAACCTGGTGGTTCACTAGATCTCCTAGTGTGATACCTCGACAGTTCAGCTCCTAACAGCTTCGGCCCCTCTGGCTACGTGCCTCGTCTTTTTCTGTCCCATTTCCGTTTCCCACTGAGATACAGCTATCCTCCTTCCAGATTGCTTTCTCGGGGACCACACATGACATGTTTCAGCACCCCTTTTCCGGCAAGCCTCACTGCCCAGGTTCTCGCGCTTGGACCGGGTCCATATACGGGATCCGCACCCCAACCACTGAGACGCATGCTATGTGGTAGACAGGCAAACAGGATCGAGGCTTTGCCGCATCTCAATGGCAGCTCTGCTCAGCTAGGCATAACTCCATCATGCAGCAGGGGATCTTGAGATATTCTGAGAGTCAGCAATGGCTGATACACCATATCTAGAGTGTTCACTTTTTGGGTATATTACGTGCCTGCACCCCGTTCCTGTTAGCATCTATCTCACGAAATAATCTTCTCATCCTCACACTGAATCTCCTATAAAGATCAAGAGCCGGCCTCTTTGTTCACTTTCTATTCTCCTGTTTTATCTTTACAAAATCAAACTACAAACCCACCTTGTCACAGGCCAACAACAGCCACTTGTCCTAATATCAACGAAATCCAAACAAACAAACTACTCAAAATGGTGGCTATCAAGCAGATCGTCTTCGCCGGCTTCGCCATGTTCGGCATGGTCCAGATCGTTGCCGGATTTGCCCCCGCCGAGACCACCACGGCCCTGAACAGGCGGTACATCGATGAAGATCTCCCCTTCGAGGTCCGAGCCGTCCTGGACGGCAGCCATCCCGAGGTGGCTGTCATCAATAAGCGACTTTTCGTGGGTCTCGCCCTCAAGGCTGGCCGCAAAATTCTCGGTGCCGGTGTCAAGGCCATTGCCCGCCATAAGCGAGACTTCGATGACGAGATGATCATGACGGTCCGCGAGATCATGGACGACACCCCTGTTGTTGAATTCCAGGTCCGCACCCTGGATGAGGATCTCCCCGTGGAGGTTCGTGCCGTCCTGGAAGACAGCCACCCCGACCTGGTCATGGTTAACAAGCGATTGTTCGTGGGCCTCGCTCTCAAGGCTGGCCGCAAGATCCTCGGCGCCGGTGTCAAGGCTATTGCCCGCCATTAGTGTGACTTTGAGGACGGTGTTGAGTAGTGCTAGTCAGTCTCCTACCCGATCAGCGCTTGTTTCCTTTTTTTCTGGTTTGTCAAGGCATAGGGATGGGTGCGGCAATTGTCTTTAAGCGATGGCGGCCATGCCTGGTTTCAGGTACGCGATTGTTTATATTGGTTTTTCGATTTTGTCTTTTCTTTTCATCTTTATTTTGTCTTACCATTTTGGTGAGGACACATGAGCGTTAGATTCAGTTATTTTGTCGGATAATTATATACCCCAGTTTCAAACATCATTTCTCTAAGCATTATTGCTTAGTAGTATAATCTCTGTGCCCATAATATTGATTTCATCAGCATCTAAGTTCGCTACTACTCGGTTAGAATATATCTGATATGATTAAGTGAGTTGGATTTTAGGCTTTTGTAGCCCAGAGACTAAGCATTCAACACACAATTAAGAAACAAGCACTAGATAGACAAAGTCTTAGTTAGCCATCAAAAGTCTTCCTTTGTATTTACTTGATTGAGTTGGGATCAGAGTGAAGTACGGGCTGGCAAAAAGACTATCTGCCCGGAGGAAATGTCTTCCTCGGGGGCTTCATTGACCCTAAGACCATATCAAAGATTCTTATTTAGTAAACCTTAAACTTCCCTACAGGGCATAAAATGTATTAAAATGTGAAAGGGTTTCAGATACCTTTACATAAGGCTATTCAAAATGCTAGCATAAGAATACGGAGGGTGGCATAATTTATGTTCAAGAGATGCTCCAGTAAATAAGAAGGGGGTTCCATTTAACTCAATCGAACACCCATGGGATGGCGTCCACCCCAGACATCAACAACATAAGTTAGAGGGGAACTTCCAGTCACCCCATACACTCAGCCCCCTGATAAAAAAAATCATGGCTCGATTTGTTAGAAGTAGGGTCTGCCATTTTCAACAGTTTTATGGATACCCTAGAGCGAGTTGAGGATATGCTTTTGGACGGGAGGCTGAATGTAGGAGGGCAGTAAGATTTCCTTCAACTTAATCTACCCAAGCCAGAAGTTGGCATACTTGGATTTAGTGTTCGCCCATGATGACTCGACAAGAGAACTCCAGAACAGCTAGCCGTGGCTAAGTAGCTGAGTGAATACTGTTGCGACTGTTTACGTTGAAACCAGCATGTCATGTAGCAAGAACCAGTTACTCTATACAATAGGTAATGTAGGATTTTGGTATATAATATCGACGGGTTGTATAGACCATGATGACTCTTCTGCTTGCGTGGTTCCTTTGACGGACTCCAACTCCCCTCTCTTCCTGCGTCGCAACCACCATCGACGTGAGTCTTCGAGACTTCGATTTTTGTTATGCGGAGCTTATAGTAGATATCAAATACACGCCAGAGAAACCTCTTAAGCTCGGAATTTGATTTCATTTTAAATTAAGTTTAATTGAATGACGAAGCGAATATATGAATTCCATGTTCAGCCAGCTATGAAATTATTTGCTGTGTCTTGATATTTCCCACTGTGTATGGACTTTGATTCCAGCATCAGAGGTATTGTGTGCAGCCAGCTTCCGGTCTGATTCTGCAGACAGGCTCGGATTAGATCCAGCCTCGACGTTTGTGTCATATTTGGTGTAATTGTCGTCGGCGTTGAAAGTAGCCAGCGTGATGTCATCGCGACCCATTTTCCTCGAGTTTTGTTTCGATCTACCTGATCGATATGCGCCGCTTCCACCGATGGTGTGAGTAGCTTCGTCGCTTAGTTTGGTGGCACCGGAAGAGCCGAAGCGAGCTCGGTAGCTCCTGTAGAGAGGTCGCAGCATAGGGATCGATACGCAAAGGATGGCGAAGTTCGGTTCCAGCGTCGTCAGAAATAGCGAGATACCCATCGTCTTGGTCAAGTCCGCGCGCATGTTGACTGTTGATACATAGTGCACACGGACGGAACTGACAACGATGACAGCTCCCAGCAGAAGCTCCCAGCAGAAGGAAAGATGTCATCAAGCCAATCTTCTCCATGAAGCGCATCTGAAGCCCCCAAATGATTTCTGTACGGGAGACATCGCGTTAGAGACTGGGCAAAGATATACATACACTGGAACAACGGCAGGGGTTTATCCAACTTACTCATTGGTAGGATCATGATGATAAGATCAGTAAGCATGTTGCTGATGATCATGGATTGGAAGATTGGAATTTGGTCACCACAGGTTCCTTCACCGGACATTACCAGCTCCATCTTCCACTGAGCAGGTACAGGTTTACAAATGAAAACATTGGCGAGGAAGTGCGAGACAAACCAACACATGCAGAGGATCATGGTACCAAAAACCAACCGGCGAGGGGCTTGAGTTTCGAAAATTCGGAGGTAAAAGCAAAGCATGCTAAGTTTGGAGAAGAGGAGACAGCCGAGGTAGGTGGGTACCGTGATAAAGGTGAGGAGGAGGATGCTTGGGATATTCGCCATCGTTTCGACTTGCTCATAGCCCGTGCCTGCAACCTGTACTGTACCAATAGTTTTTGTCAGTGCGGTCCAATAGGAATTGAACTCGGGAGATACATACGAGCAACCATAAGGCCATAGACAACGCAACTGAGGAGAAGGGCGATGATGATCATGTAGTCGTCGAGACCGAGGCCAGCACCCATGCAGCTGCGGGCAAACAATCGAAGCCCAACCACAACAAAGACGAAGAACTGCACCATGGATTCGACGGCGACGTGTACCAGAATCTCATGTTTGAGCGGGAAGGGAGTGATGTGGATGGCCGTCGGTAGTTGGTCCATGGCTGCGGCGGTTGGGCGATGTTGTCGCCAGACTCTGAATGTGGCTGACCTAGTCCAGAGGTTCTGACAACATAAGACGTGCTCGGTAGTTGAGGATTGAGGAGAAACGCCATCTTTGAACTTTTCAGCCCACTCGCTTGCAGTGGCCCCTGCTCACGTCAAGCGCGCATTGAGAGTGAGGATGGGCACTATACATTCCATTTTTGGATTCGTCACAGTTTGAGTACTCTCTACAGGGTTAGGACATGGTTTGGAGCTAGGCTAGGGCTCACAGGGTTGGCAACGGTTGGGCGGGATGCCGTTGAGCCTTCCGCGGCGCGGTCTAACGGTTTTCTCACCAAGTCGGACTCGGGCTTGCTGGATTGAGTATTGAGCTGCAGTATAACCCGCTTGGTCATCTTCTCCTAACCCTGCATTATCCCTTTCTAGGCCTGAATTCCCCTCTGTGCTAACACTCCACCACTCTGTTAAGAACCCCCCTCTCATTGTATCAAGGATTATCCTTCTCCATCATTTTAGCATAAACGGTCCAAGGGAACAGCCCCATGCTCTGGCAAATCAGAGGTTTCTCAGGGTTCTCTGTTTAGTGGAGATGCTTACAGTTTCACTCCGAGGGGAGGAATCCTTCCACTGCCGATGATAATTCCCGTGTTGACGGAAATTTTCTGACGAAAATTCCCGCATCAGGAAGGTAACGAGAGATGTTATCGAGACCTTCCAACGCAGCATCAACCCCGTATCGCCAACATTGCTGGCTTTTCTGAAGCCAATCCTTCGAAAGGGCTCCTCTTCAAACTACAACCTTTCTCCCTCCACAGCATTGTTCGATAAGGGTCCCAAATCTGCATGGTCTCTCTCATGTGGCAAGGGGCATCCAAATCCCGGAAGGACTGAACGGTGAGCCTTGAAAAGCTTACCGGCTTGATCCTTAGTTTCTCGCACTAACGCCTCCCCCACAGACTCTTAACCAATTTCGCTTGCGTATACTTAGTCTAAACTCAGCTAAGGCCGAACGCTTTCCGCGGCTTTCTTCCTCAACCCTTGATGCCAAGGGCCTAGTGTCCTCATATCACTTTTTGTCCTAGCTATAATGCATGATACGCATGCCCAGCATAATGGCGACTCGATTGAGTCAGGTCCTTATCCGTATATGGTTGTGAGCTGACCCTCTTTGCTTTCTTTTCCCGCTTAGTCTTCCCTTCCTTTGCAAAGGTTCCGTAACATCGGCATCTACTCGACAATAAATTCATTATTCATAATGTCAGCCCAATTCCAAGTTGCTATTGTAGGCGGTGGCCTTGCCGGCTTGGCTTTGGCGGTCCACTTGGAGACGCTGGGAATTGACTGGTTCCTGCTTGAGGCGTACGAGGAGATCGCCCCTGAGCTCGGTGCCAGCATTGGCCTGCCCCCCAATGGCATGCAGGTCCTTGACCAACTCGGTGTCTATGACGAAGTAGCAGCCCAAGCGGGCACCGGGTCCTCCGTGGTAGCTTATGACGGCGATGGCAACAAGATGTATGATTTCGAGCTGCTCCCCCGCATGCGAGCTACCCATGGATTCGACCTGCGCTTTACTGAGCGCCGCACCGTCCTGAAGATCCTCTATGACAAGATCCAGGCCAAGGACAAGGTCCACACGAGCAAGCGCGTCAGCAAGATCGAGCACGTTGGCGACAAGGTCGAGATCACCACACTCGACGGCAGCTCATATACAGCCGACATTGTCATTGGCGCTGATGGAATCCACAGCCCTGTCCGTGGCGAGATGTGGCGAAACGCTGCTGAAGACGGCTCCAAGGTCTTTGGCGAGAACCCAGGAGCCGACGTTGTGACCGAGTACGGCTGCACCTTTGGCATTTCAGACCCAACCAACGACCTGAAGGAGGGTGATCTCCGTCATGTGCACAGGAAGGACGCGGCTGTTGGCTACATTGTTGGCCGTAAAGACATCGTCTACTGGTTCCATTTCTTCAAGCTCCCGCAGAAGCACATGGGTATTGACTTTCCACGATTTACCAAGGAGCAAGAGAAGGAGATCACCGATGCGGATCTGGACCGCGTCATGACCCCGGGAACCACCTTTGGCGATGTCTACAAGAACAAGACCATCTCCATCATCACGGCCCTGCCCAACCACAGATTTCCCCGCTGGCACTATCGCCGCGTCTTCTGCGTCGGCGATGCCGTCACCAAGTCCCAGCCCATTGCTGGTCAGGGTGGCTGCAGTGCCCTTGAGTCGAGTGTCGCTCTCGTCGATCACTTGTATGCTGCCCTCAAGGAGAATGACATGAAGCCCCTATCGAACGACCAGGTTGAGGCTGCTTTCACCAAGACGACCGAGGTGCGAAAGGAACGTTCCACCACGGTCATCAACGAGGGTCTCCTGTATATGAAGTTTGCCTCCTGGTCTAACTTTCTATACCGCCTCATTGACAAATACATTGTCAGGCTTATCCCTAAGACCACAATGGTCGACCTCATGTTTTCAGGCGCCGCTGGTGGCTACCACTCTAATACCCTTCCCGCCCCTGTGGACAGATATGTGAAGGGGACTGGAGAGCCTGTTTCTGCTAAGAAGATTGATGGTACAGATGATGAGAACTGAGTCTCTCGGGTCTTATGAGACTACCCCTTTGTTACTGAGCTGTACACTATGTATATACAATTATGATATCCCTCTAGCAACTACCTGAAAGAGATACTCTTAGTGTAGACTCTTAATTTATAGAACAAATACGAATTTTCATCAGAAAACTCCTTGGCGAGTGTCGTGTGTGAGAAACAACAAGGATGCTAGGGCTGTAAAAAGAGGTGGCACATGCATCAGCGTTCCATCCAAGTTCCCGACCACCACCCTTGGCACGAGTGGCATGCAGCTGAAGGGCGCAATGTTGATTCTCAGCAGGACCCGATAGTTCCAACTCTCAAGGTCATCCCTCCATTAAAATCAATAAACATGTAGATTGGGGCAAACACATCGAATGCGACAACCGAGTGGATGGACTTTCATTCGGATTCTTTTTTGCGTGCATACTACGGTTGTAGGCAATATATGGATGGTTGTGGTCCTTTATCTTAGACCTGGATTAAATTGAATCTCACAATGGGTCAAGATACAACCTCACAGTATGCTACTAGAACTGGGAGGCACCCCGTGATAGCCGCAGCAGATGACTTCCATTTGCTCAACCCTCGGTCCAGATTGCAGGGAATATTGTATGTGCGCCGCAGCGTAATAGGGGGTGGACCAGGGGGGTGTAGAGTAACCTCGACCTTGGGCTCCGATACAACTCGGCTCATGATCCCCTTGCTTACACCTAATGTTGGAAGTGGCAATGACGCTCTGTCTGCTAGAACTCTACCAAGATTTGCGTTGAAATTGTTAATGGTATGGTCTTCTGCCTTCTTACCTTGGTCATGCCGATACTCTAACCTCAAACAAACTCCCCTCGCCGGATACAATGACGTGGCTCATGTGCCTGCCATTCTCATTCCAAGCTTCATTGAGTGTCCTATGCTAGTCATTGTGTTGAGATGTGGAGTCTGGCCTCTTACATTGCTGTTTTTTCCTTTATACTGAAACTCTCTGACAGAGAGTCCTCTGTATTTTCTCAAAAATGCCAGTTTGTCTAGTTTTGTGTGCCTGCATGACTGATCCTACGCTCACGCACCATGAGACGAGCGACAGAGGATACCACAAGCCTTAATAGAATAAAGGCTAGCTTCATCAAAAATCATAGGATTATCATGTAATGGCAGTGTTATGTATTCTAGACATGCTCTCAAGACAGCATACGACGCTGACTGCGCTATACACACGACTGAGAATGCCGATTTGGGCCAAGCTGGTACTCACATCTACACTCTCTTACTAAATAGTTAAAAAATAGTTTTCATTCTCTTCTCTCACAAAATAATGGAATATTAAAATCACACATTGACTTGGGTATGTTCTAGCTAAGGTAAGCCATGTAGTCATAATATTTTAATGAGTTAAGAAAGAAAAAATACAGGTTAACCTAAACACAATAAGGAGCCTCTCTTGAAGTAGACTTAGGGAAACTCTGTGCCCCTAAAAGTTCTACCATTAGATATAAATGAAATCGTCCACGACGGCTTTAGTACGTTGATATCCGGGTTAAGGCCACTCCTAGAAGAACATTTTGGGTCACAGGATACATTGCATAGCCTCCTCACAAAGGCTCGTTGGGATGTTGGTTGTATACATACTTCTTGGGTCTATGTATCCTAGGTAGCTACTACGGAATTGAAATGCGGTGAGGTGATCAGGCGGGCGGCTAAATCACAACAGATGGTGCAAGTACTTTGGGTGCCAGTGCTCTCGTCTGGTTATGGCCGCGATGGAGGTCGAGGCTGATCTACCGTAGCAAGTTTCCTTGTTTGCAAGGCTTGCAAAACAGGGGCGGGCAAAAAGAAACAAACAAGTGTGGTCCTAGACGCCAAGATGAGTGTATTGTGCTGATAGCTGTTTGTTATAGCTTTTATTTCTTTATTCCAAGATAGATTAAGCCTCTTCGTAACTAGAGTACAAAGCTCTGCAAAATTCATATATGAATGCCTTGTGTATGTTGACTAATTCTTGGCATCTGGTTAAGCCCCCTCTTCAAGAAGAGATGTCGTCGCATCGCCTATGCATTCTTTGAGAGATCGGAATTCAATCCCAAGTATCTCCTTAGCTCTTGAATTATTGTAGCCATAGACATCCGCGGGAAGGTCGTCAATAGGATTCTGGGCCAGTCGGGGCGAAAGCTCTGGGTGTGATTCCCGAATGGCATGTACGATGCGCTTGTTTGTGTAGTGTCCAGCAGTCACAAAGAATCGCTTCCCCCCAGCCTCGGGTATCTCGATCGCCTTCACGTGGGCTAGTGCGAGGTCACGTACATCTGTGAAGAGATAGTTTCGAGTGGGTGGCAGCTTGTTGTCCTGATGTTTGCCCTGGATGAAATCTCTGATGCGCATGTTGGATGTGTTCAGTCGAC